GTAATGTTGAAAACATTTCAAACATAAGATTTTTTTTATTTTGTATCATGAAAGAAAAGATATATATTATTTAGAATTATATTATATAGAATATGATTCTATTATATATAAATTTTTCGAAATATATAATAATAATATTAAACAATATTTATAATAATATTTATATAATATTACAATTGCAGCAACTATTAACGAATTTCCAATTTAATAAAACAATATTTAAAAAAAACGAATTCTACACAATTAATATTATATTTTATATTTAATATTTTTGTTTCATCATTCATAAATATTTGTTTAACACTGGGATATAGGATTTCGTATGTAGATATAGCCTTTGAAAACACCCATTTACGTATTGCTACTCAAAATTTAAACCATATATCAAACCACGTGAAAAATTGAAAAAAATATGTATATATATAACGCATTTGATTAAATATAATATGTTTAACATTTAAACAAAATTATAAAATATTGTCATTTTTGCCGCATCATAAGTCCTTTCGCTGTCAACTGTCACGTGAGTGAATGAATAGAAAAAATACTAAAAAATGCGATTGAAATCTTTTGTCAGTTTCATATATTTTTTGTTTATGTAATTGCAAAATACTTACAATTGTTTGCTGCTTCCAATCGTTACGAATTCCTTGATTTTTTCTTATTTTTCAATTTGTACGAAGAGACACAGCTTCCGTGATTCGTATCAGATTGTAGGCCTATGAGTATTAAAATTGCAATTGAATTTCCACGTTATCTCACGCATTATGCCAATCGACAAGTTATTAATTTTTTACCGAATTATGATCGAATAAATGGCAAGTAATCATGTGATTATATTGATATCTCTTTACGAACATCGTCATCGTAAAGGACGAACTATTTGCACTATACACGAACAGTTTGCAGGAGCACGCTCTCTTTATTCCTTCTCAGAAGCACGATCGCACGGTAAAACAGACACTGTCCTTGCGGGATAAATGGCAAGATGACATATAAAATAGAAGGATGTCACTGTCTATTAACCGATCACCTTTACTGCTGTTAGATGATCCCGCGGGAAACTTAGAGAATCGAAAAAGACGCGAATCTCCAGTCCCGAAGCTTTTTATCGCAAACATCCTTGAAAAAAAGCTCTCACAGAGACAGATACTTGTTCTACAGCGCCTACGTGCGGCAATGCTAGTAACTTTCTGTCAAAGCACGAACGCGGTTTGTTACTGTTCGAAGACGCCATGTTGACTGCCTCTCTTAAAAGCACCCGACGCGACATCTGCCGATATTTTTTGATAGTTAGAAAAGGATTTTACAGCGGGAAAATAATTGTGTAAACAAATTAATAAATTTAAAGAAGAAAGATTCAAAATCGAAGAAAAGATATTTTGTTTTATGATTCAGTAAGTTTACTTATATTAAATATTGTTACTTTCAAATTAATATATGTATTTCCAAATTGATTGAAATCGATATACTGTTTACAAATTGTCGACAACTTCATTTCGTTAAAAATTTAAAAAGATGAAAGGACTAAATAGAATAAAGTATATTTTAATTTATATTAAGTGAATTTTATAAACTATTCAGAAAAAACTTAAGTGATACAAAATAAAAACTATTAAAGAAATTTTAGAATTATTTCATATTTCTATTGATATTAAATTTTTTATCTTTTCATTTTCTTAACTTCTTCTCTATTTAATTTTGATCAATAATTCATGAACATAATAGTTTGTATATTTTATTTAAATAATTTGAATACTTTTTTTAATTAGATATTTTACATAGTTCTTTTAATTTTTAACGAATGATAATGTA